TCCTCATTCATTAAATAAGATTCTTATACGATAACATAAAATAATATATGTAAAACCCATAGCGTACTACAGAAAATCAGAAACTCAATCAATGCTTTTTTTCTCTCATAAAAGGAAAAAACATACTTGGAATGATTACTCAACCTTTGCTCTTTTAACTAAATAATTCCTTTTAAATATTCTTCTAAATATCCACAACTCTCATCTTTGTTATTCTACTCCAAATGATGATTTTTCCCAGTTGCTGTAAAGTTACATAATTGAAAAGAAATTAAGACAGAGTTTTCATTCTTCATGGTGACTCAGCTCTTCGTATCCAAAATTGAAATAAGATAAATTGCACAGGTGGCCACATTTCTAAGTTAATTAGTGTTGGCTCAAGGTTCATCATTTTGGAGAACTGATCAAGCCATCTTTTTTTTTTTTTTTCAAAAACAATAACAAACAAGAAATGTATTACCTGAGTTCTGCATTTAAGTCACTTACTTAGGTAACTTTTCATGGCTTTCTCTCAATTGTGGTCATAGAGGGTCTAGAAAATAGTGAAAAGATACCTCGTGGAAAAGACGATCTTTCTAGCCTCTTGCTGGGAATGGAAATGGAGGTGGTAGAAAGAAAGTGTGCAAGGTACATGTCCACACATGTGTTTTAGAGCAGGGACCAAGACTATAACCAACCCTTTCGCTCATCAAAATACCAGTTTAGTACCTCTTCTGTGTCAGAGATGTTGTAGCCAGTCAGTGGCTCTGAAGAGGTTATCACCAGCACACTTAGTTTACCATTGTGCTAGTGAAGATGTAAAATAAGAGAGAAATCCCTGAGGCCCATTGCTTTGGTAATAAGCAGGTGTTTGAGCCCTTAGATTCATTATCATTATTATTACTTTGCAGGCCATCTCTGTTCAAATCTGGCCTTTAGATGATTTCTGTGTCTTTGGCAGAGGTGAGATGCTTAACTTGCTTCAAGTTCAGGATGTTACTTGTGAACTTAACCTTTATGCTGAACATCAACCCTTCCTACAGGGAAATTAATGTTGTGTTAATTATCGCCACATCCTGAACACAGAGGGAGGTAGTACATGTTAAAAAGCAGCCAATACAAATTAGTGTTATTTGACTGGTTACCATGTTTCAGGTGTTGTTTAGATCTCTTTCTATGTTTTACATAACTGAATCCTCAACCATTCCTAGTTAATGTACCCGTTTTAGATGTAAGAAAATGAAGAATGATTTAAATTATCTTAAAGTTACCTAGTGATTAAGTGGTAGAGGTATAATGCAAACCCTAGTAATCTGACCACATAGCCTAAGTACTTACTTTTCTTTGATAATATCAAATATTCTTATGTTTTTCACACAGGGATCTAGGTCTTAATGTGCTACTGCAAGGGATTAGGTAGATTCTCCAGGAAAAATGTTTTCCAAAAGCCCTTTCTTTTTTTTAATATTTATTTTTTAGTTGTATTTGGACACAATATCTTCATTTCACTTATTTATTGTTATGTAGTGCTGAGGATTGTACCCAGGGTCCTGCACGTGTGAGACGAGTGCTCTACTACTGAGCTACAACCCCAGCCCCTCCAAGAGCCCTTTCTACAGGATTGTGGGAAGTTCAGTGAGGTATGTACATAGGGCTCTGGGCAGGCATTACCAACTTCACCATTATCTGTTTGTCATTTCTAGGCACAGAGGTGTTTGCCCTGCCTATGTCTTTCAAACCAGGAGGGGTTCTGTGACATGCAGCTGCCACATGAGTGTAAAGAGGATGTATCACCTCTGGGGAGACAGAGTCCATTGCTGATACTGTACTTTGCAGTCTGCCCTTTTCTGTGGGTGATTACAGAAGCACGCTGGTATGAAGGTGCTATGAGGTTATAGAAGCTTGGGAAATGGAGTGACCTGGAGAATCATCCATGTCTGGAAAAGACATTGAGCAGGAAATAACACCTTTATTGCCTTGAGCTTCTGTAATGGTGGGCTTATTTGTTATCATAGCATAACCTAGTCTATGAGTAATTCAGTGCATAGTGGAGTCTAAAATAGTCAACATTTAAAAACCAATAGTTTCAAAATATAATAATTTGCATTCTGTGGGCATAGGTAGTGCTTATGTTAGACAGCCCCAAATCAGTCCCACCAAGGGACTTACTAAATTCTCACTAAATAAGCTCATCAGCATATGTGGCACATTCCCAAGTAGCATTTACCTGCAGAGAATTCCTTTCCTTCCGTAGGATAAATAGAAATCTTTGGGGTTAAACCTTTTTATAAGACACAGATAATTTTTTTGCAGACAAAAATAACTAGCAGCCCTTCTTACCATTTTTCTTCTGATAGCACCATGGTACACGCTCGAAAATTGCATTTTTTTTTAAATTTCTCCTTTCTTTATGAAGAAGTCTACATATCAGCTCGCCACAAACATCCAGAATAAATAATGTATTTCATTATCTAGTAAACGAAGATAATTTTAAAAATCCTGCCGAGTTCATAATTTATATGAGCCAATGGATATCAGGCCTGGAGTTGGGGGCGGCACTCTTTCAAGTGAGCAGTGTGGGTGTTAATTCCACAACAAGTGTGTTTAGAGGAAAGAACACTGCCTACTGTCAGTACAAAATTACAGGGCTGATCCTAGCTGAGCCTTGCGGTGTGACTCTGCTCAAGTTTCTTCTTAGAGTTACCTGGATTTTGTTCCTTGTTGCATTGTGAAAGTCCCTACCATGGTGTGGACTTGAACGGCATATCCCTTCTATTTATTGCAATCTCCCATAGGCCTGTGCTAATATAAGATACACACACACACACACACACACACACACACACACACACACACACCCCAAGATAAGCTATTTAACCTTTCTGAATCTTTGTTATGTCATTTATAAAATGAGAATGATAATGCCTAACTCATTAGATTGGTGGTAACAGGAGCTGGGTGTTACACAGCAAAGCTTAATGCATAATAATTTCTTCTCACTTGGTATCTCTCCTGGAAGATCAAGATTCTGAATCACTATGTCTCATTATTTTCAAGAGAGAGCAAATACCTAGGACATTTCAGTTAAAAAAAAGATTATGATATTTCAGAAAATTTAGGTAGATTCCCCGGCCTCTTACATATATATTTCTCAGTTTTCTGATGCCTTGAAGTTTGTAGGTAGGATGCACTCATCTGAATGCACCCCAAACTTTTCCACATGAGACTGCCAGTTCTTAAAGCAGAGCTATTGATATTATTGTGCTATTAGTAATAAAAATAGCCAATATTTACTGAGAGTATATTAGGTAGCATATACTGTGCTAAATATACTACATAAAGATACAAATTTATGTATATAATATACATAATTCTTTAGAGAATTACAATATATAATACACACACAATTCTACAATAGTTATTATTATTATTCCCACTGTATTGGTCCAGATCCAGTTAGGACAATTATTTTACAGATTTAGTATAAGGTATCAAGACAAGAAGATGACACTGATAATCCAAGGGCACCGTTAAGGGTGCAGAGAAGAGGGAAGGGAAGAGGTTGGGAATTGTAAAATCTGAAGAGTTGGAGGAGGGGCCTTGTGGATTTGTGACTTACCTGTGAGGAAGGGGTGCGAGTCAAGTTTGTATTTGCATTTTTTGAGCAAATATATTGAGCAGGTGCAATTAGGCTGTTCTAGGATGAGCAAGAACTTCACATTAGCAGTAATGCTGCTGGCACAAACTAACAAAAGAACCATGGCCACAGAGATATGGCATAAGCACAAAGCAAAGCAGAAATGAGAAGGTGCTTCTCCCTCTCCCTGCCTTCCAGCCTTCCCTTAGCATTCCTATGAGTACAGCCTAGAAGGTCCAGCTGGCCAAGAAATGTGATTTGGGGAGTGCCACCTCCAGCATCAGGAACAGTAGAGACAAGAGGCTTGAAGCTGATACAATGTCTTAACCAGCACAATTTTCCATCTGAATTTTATTTCTCTTGTAATTGTTTTTCTGCTGTTTCCACAATTGGATTTGAGTTTTGTACTTATCAAAATTGTTGACATTTCTCAAGAAACTATTGAAGAAGGGCACAGAATATGCTAGGTATCACCAAGCAGGTCCTGAAAACTGTCAAGGTGCTACCAACAGAAATGCTCATCATTTAGATCTAGTTTCCTAAGTGCTTGGTCTATCAGTGGGCGACATTTTACCATATATGGGGAGGCTTACATATGACTATGTGGCTTCATCTTTTAAAGTGATAACATAGCAACAGCTTTTGTTAGTTTTCAGGAACCAGAAACAGATTGAATTCTTGGCAAGATAGAAAGAAAGAGCTTCACACACTCAGCTGGTTGTGGTGCTCCCTGTGTTGTAAATGCTACTGCAGACAGACCCTGTGAGCGAGGCTTCCCACGCTGTGAGCCACACATCACTCAGCAGCAGCCATCTCTTCACAGGTCTGACAGAGAGGGAGGAACGTGCCAAGGTGAAGATAGTAGCAAAGAGGGCCATTAAACACTGCCAAATTGCTTTCCTTTCGAAAATGGAACACTTAGGAGCAAGCAACACCAAATAAACAAACATACATGTCACCACTCTGTTCAAATTATTGAAGGTAAGGATATTTACAACAAGCCTGTCTACTAAATTGAATGTCTATTTCACAGCATGCCTAGATATTGGTATAGGTGAAAAGGGTGACTCGGATCCATATTCCATGATTCAGGTCAGTGGACCAAGTGGAGTTAACTTTCCTATCCGCCATCTTTGATAATCTGGGATGCCCCTACTGTGCTCACTCATGAGCTGCCCATTGTTTACAATAGCATATTATAATAGCATATTATAAAGGTCATAGGAATGACCTTTTTCATTCATTTATTTACATATAAACATTTATTATCTATCTTAAGTAGGTGATTCCAATTCCACGTATGGAGGATTTAGTACTATAGCTATCGTCAGTGTCAGAAATTGAACACAAACTCTTTTCTCATACATATTTATGACTCTCATACCTTGGAAGTCAAAAGAATGAAGTTTCCTTGAAGTAGGGGGGAGTTCCAGGGTTAAATTGTCATCAGGATGTTCTCTTTTTCTTTTTCTCTACTTCCTTCAGGTCCTCCACCTCTTTATAGGCTTCCTTTTTAGGACGTCTCTCTGCATGACAACAAAGGAGACTTTTGGCAGTGTCTGGCTTACACAAGCCCCTCAAATTTTAATAATATTGAGATAAACTGTCTCAAGAGACCAGGAAAAGATGGGCCTGTGTAAGGGACATGCTATTTGAGAAGAGAGCGTGTGTGAATATAAAAAAAGGAACTAATTGAACAGCAAATGAAAAGGAGTAAAATGATTATACTTTGAAAAGAATACAGAGCCTGCATGTTCTAGTAAAGTGCAATAGGAAAGAAAGACAAAGAAAACATAGCTATAATTGAATGTGTTAAGTGTTGTGATGTTTTTAAAAAATCTGTGAGGTAATTTTGCTACTGGCATGGTGGAGTGAGCTCCAACAGGGCCTACCCTCTTGTGAAAACAGCTTCAGTGCTGGAAAAAATATGAAAATATACTGGAAAATATACAAAAGCAGGAAGACTCTGGAGAAGTGTTGTTGAGAGCCACAGCCAAAGGGGCCCCAGCAAACTTCCAGCTGCCGGCTGATGATCCAGCTGCCAGCAAACTTCCAGTTGCCGGCTGATGATTGGCTCACAGTGGCCCCAGCAACATCTAGCTGATTGGCTCCTCTGCGGTGATGTTCATTGGGCTGTTTCCCTGCCCTTCAGACTGCCAGCTGATGATTGGCTCACAGCAGCCCCAGCAACATCTAGCTGATTGGCTCCTCCACGGAGCTGCTCATTGGGTGACTTCTTTGGCTCTGCCCACACAACCCAGCCAATCGGCATCAGGAGCAGGAGGATTGTGGGAGGTTGAGAGGCTGGGGTGTGGGAGAGAGGCTTGTGGAAGCCGGTGGTGGCAGTTGGGCTCTGAGGGTTTTTCCCTGGAGCTGTTTTGTTTGGCGTTTGTAGTTCTAAAAATAAAGTTAGTTTCTTTTTGACAAGTGGCTCCTGATTTGTGCCAAGCCAGACTTCGGCAAAGTGTCAACACTTACAAGAAAGAAACAGAATGGCATGAATATTCTATTCTTATAGCTATTAGCCTGAAATAGCTTAAGCCTAAAACTCTAACACAAAATGGGATTTTTGACCTGAAGAACTACGGGACAGAGTTCAGGGAAACCATAGCTGCTAGAAAGCAAGAAGGGGCCCAGAAAAACAGAGAATAAGTCCCATGTTTTACAAATAAATTCTACCCAAATTCCTGGATAACCATGCAACTATGGCAGAATTAAATTTTTATCCATCTAAAGAAACTAAATTGAGATTAAAATTATTACCAAAAGATACCATGTTACTGGATCCAACCAGTTAGCTATCTACTAAGACAAAAAAAAAAAAGCACACTCTTTAGAGGAATATAACAGAATCTATATTACAACCTTCTAGAGTGTGATAAAAAATTACTTAACACTTGAAGATCAGGAAAATGTGATCCATCTTAAAGAGACAATCGACTAAGACTGACTGGAATTAGGATTTTAAAGCAGCTCTGTGTGCTTACATGAAAGAATATAAGAATTTCACTATTTGGACTTGAGAACCAAATGGAGTGACAAAGGAAAGAGTATGAAGAGGGAGCCTCAGGAACCTGTGGGACAATATCAAAGTCTAACATACATATAATTAGAATTGCAGAAGATAAGAGAGACACAACTGGTAAGAGAAGATCAAAGACACAAAAATACAAGGAAAAAGACAAAGATAAACTATACTTCTTTATACTTCAAAATTTTGTTCATCAAAAGATATTATCAAGAAAGTGGAAAGACATCCTGTAGAATGGGAAAAAATATTTGCAATATTCATATAACTGCCTAGCATCCAGATTGTGTATTCTCATAACTCAACTAGAAGACTTTTAAAATGTAAAAATGAGTAATAGTCCCAAAAGTCATTTTTACAAAGAGGTATACTTATGACCCAATAGTACATGAAAAAATACTCAATATCTTTAGGTTATATGACAAATGAAAACTACAACGAGATACCATTTCACAACCAACAGAAAGGCTACTAAAAAACAAAATAAACAATAAGAAATGCTTATGAAGACGTGGAGAAATTGAAAGCAGTGTACATAACAGGTGAGAACATCAAGTGGAACAGCTACTAAGTGGAAGAATTAAAAAGAGGTCTTTTAAAAAATTTCTGCATATGAATACTATGTAAGAAATGTACCCAAAACTCAAATGTCTGCCAATGAGTGAATGAACAAGCAGTAGTTATCTAAAGGAATATCATTCAGGTATAATATATGCCAGTACATACTACAACATGGATGAACCTCAAAAACATTATGCTAAGCAAAGATGCTAGATACTTGTGATAGAATTTCATTTAGATGAAATATCCAGAATGGATAAATCCATAGAGACAAAAAATAAATTAGTACTCATCAGGGACTGGGTGGAGAGGAGTTGGAGATGGTGGCTGAGTGGGCATATCATCCCCTACCAGGGTGATGAAACTACTTTAGAGACAGACAACAGTCATGAATGTACAATATTGTGAATTTTTTGACAACAGTAGAAGACTCAATTTTTTTAAAAGCAAACTTTCCTCCCACTGTATGTTTTAGATGTTGTGTTGAAGGGAATTTTAAAATTTTCATTCCCCACGTTTATTTCAGGTGAACAACATCAGGAGCAAATAACAACTCGTTTTATGCCTTTAATTTATTTTCATGAGTGTAGTGATTAATACCATCAGCAGGGAGCTGGGAATTCTTGCTAAATCCTAATATTAGAAAAAAAGTGTTTGATATGTCATCAATATGTCAGATGTCTTCTGTAAGCGTTTTAGAGATGTCCTTTATTAGAATCAGGAAAATTCTTTTCTTAGCTTAAAATTTTCCATCATAAAATTAAAATTTTAACATAAAATGTCACCAAATATTTTTCTGCATCAACTAAAATTAATATAGGGATTTTACCCATTATTCTATAATTGTGTTGAATTAAACTGACTTATTTTAAAACCTTGCAATCCTAAAATAAACCCTTCTTAGTTATGATATAAAATCCTCTTGATACAGGACTGGATTTGACTTGCTGACATTTTGCCAAGGATTTTTGCGTCTGTGTTCAAGAGGGATATTGATCCATGGTTGTATTTATATGTTTGGTTCTGTTCTCTAATTCCTTTGCCAGGTTTTGATATTAGGGTTTTGAAGGCCTCAAAAGAAGTTTGGAAGTGTTCTCATCTATTTTCTGAAGACAGTGCACATATTTAGAGATAATTTTGCCTAAAATATTTGATAGCATTTAATAAAGAACTATCTGAATCAAAAGCTTTCTTAGGATTGATATTTTCTGTTTTAGCTTGTTCAGTTTGGGTAAGTTTGATTTTCAAAGAATGTGCTCATTTTAACTAACTTGTGAATCAGGTTGTTTCTAATATTTTCTTACTGTTCAATTAATATTTGTAGAATCTGCAATGATAATTCCTCTTCCATTACTGATATCAGCACTATGTTCTGTTCTCTACTAATGTACCTGAGTTTATCAATTTTTCAGGTCTTTTCATGGAATTAATTTTTCCTCTTGTTTGTCTGCTTTCTACTTTATTGAAAGGTTCCAATATTTCTTTAAGGAAGTCTTCCTTGTGTTTGCTTCTCTTTTTCTTGTTTTAAAATAATTATTTTAGACATTTAGTTTCCATTATAAGCATTTAAGACTATATATTTATTTTTAAGCAACTCAAAAATTTCAACATATTGTATTTTTACTTTCATTCAATTAAAAATAATTTTAATATGTTTTGCTCTTCATTTACTAATCTGTAAGTCAGAAATTCACACATCAAAATTTTATCAAAGAAAAACTCATATCACATAGAATTACCTATTTCAAAGTGTACAGTTTGATGGTACTTTACAAATTCTAGATTTTGAAAAATAACTAGTTGCACTAAGAAGTAAATTTATCAAGGTCACTGCCTTCTATAATAACATGAAGAATTTTGTTTTTTATATACTGGGAGCCAACAACTGGAAAACGGAATTTTAAAAAATCCCTTTCAAAATAGTATCTAAAATATATGCTTAGGGTTAAGTTCACTTTTAAAAAGTAGAGACCTCTATTTTGTTCATTGTACTTACACAAAACAAAATTTTTATTTTAACCATTTTAAAATGTTCAATTCATTGGTGTTAAGGGGCATTCACATCGTAACCATCACCAATATTCATCTCTAGAAAATTTTTATCATCTCAAACTCTGTGCCCATTACTACCCTCTCTCCAGCCCCTGGAAGTTACTATCTGATTTTTCTGGCTATAAATCTGACTACTCTAGATGCCTCTTCCACGTAGCATCATACTATACTTGTCCTTATGTGATTGGCTTATTCTACAAACATAATGTCCTCAAGGTTCACCTATGCTATAGCATGTGTCAAAGCCCTTCCTTTTGAAGGCCAAATGATAATCCACATGAGGACTCTGCTTTCCAAGGCAGCTGCCCTAACATAGTCCAGTGTGACTGTTAAGTTCTTGGGTTTTGCAACACACAATCTTGTTGTTACTTCTACTCATTGATCTTTCCTTTCATGACTGACTTATTTGACTCAGCACAATGGCTGTAAGGTTTATCTATATTGTAGCACGTGTCAAATATCCTTCATTTTAAAAGCTAAATGCCATACACCTCTATTTTTAAGGCCACAAAAAATAGCTGAATGAAATGGTAAAACACATCAGTTAGTGGATAAATATACTATATTATTGATGAGAATGCAATATTTTAAAGCTAGCCATGCTCCCAAAAATTATGTGTACAATCAATAAAATTTAAGATCTCAGGAGGTATTTTGTTGCGAATTGGTACACACTGATTTTAAAATTTATATATCCATGCAAAAGACCAAGAATATTCAAAGAAATCTTGAAAAAGAAGAACAAAATTGAAGGATCTTTACTACTGGCATTCAGGATCAATATTTACATCAACTGAATTGGCAATAGAAAGTCCAGAAAGAAACATGTACATCTTCCTTTGACTTTTGGCAAAGACATTAAAACAATCC